CTTATCCCTCTATCCCTGCTTACAAGCATGCCGACTGTTTTCTTCTCCGAGACTTTGAATCCCCAATCGTTTGCCCATGCCATGAATTTGTCTAAGGCCTTCTGCATTTTCTTTTGTAGTTCACAGAAGTTCCTCCCTTTCCTCCATATGGTACTGTCATCAGCAAATTTAGCTAACTCAGTTTTGGCGTCGAGGTAGGACGATTTCTGTATGTCGTTGATCATGATATTGAAGAGAGTGGGACTGATAACCGATCCCTGAGGCGTGCCATTTTCTAATGTTTGCACGGCACTCAGGAATCTGCCAACATTCACCTGTATCTTTCTATCGCTCAGAAAGCTTTTGATCCACCGAAACATTATGCCCGTTATACCAATACGTCCTAACTTGAAGAGCAGCCCGTCTAGCCAGACTAAATCGAAAGCCTTAGTTAAATCTACGAACACGACACATAACAGGTTCCCAGAGAGGAGTGCCTGCGACATGACTTGCTGTAGTCTCACCAAGTGGTCCGTTGTTGAACGCCCTTTCCTGAACCCGCTTTGATTTTCGTCGATCAGTCGGTTTCTCTCCAGATAGAACTGTAGTCGTATGTTAACCATTGTTTCCAAGGTTTTGCACAGTGTGGATGTCAAACTTACTGGTCGATAGGACTCTGCCTTTGTTCTCTCTTTACCTGGTTTTGGAAGAGGGATGACGTTGGCTTTCCGCCATTCTTTAGGTACCTCTCCTGCCAGCCAGGATGTGTTGAAGAAGTTTAGTAGTATCCTTTTGGCGTTTCTAGGCAGATGTTTGAGCATCGAGTACTTTACTTTGTCCTCACCAGCCGCACTATCCTTCTTGAGGGAAAGAGCCTTATTTAACTCCTCCTCAGAGAAGGGTAGATTGATTGGTTTAGCCCCTTCATTAGGTTCAATTTCTAATGAAGGGTGCTGTGAGTAAAAGATTTCCTTTCTCTTCAGAAACTCTGGTGATTGGTTTTCGTCCCTGCTTGCGTCAGCGAAAGCTTTTGCAAGTAGATCTGCGTTTTCATTGCCGTTGGTAACGTACTCATCTCCATTCTTTAGGTTTGGTATGTTGAATGATCTGCGCTTCCCGTTCATGGCGTTCAGCTTATTCCAGACGGCACCTGTTTGCGTGTTTTGATTCAACGCATTACAGAATGTCATCCAGTGTCCGCTTTGTGCCTTCCGGATGGTGTCTCTTGCGGCGTATTTCAACTTCAGGTAGTTTTGGTGATTGACTTCATTGTAGTGGCGTTTCCGTAGGCGTAGTGCCTTCTTTCTTTCGTTAACCGCCTTCTGACATTCTGGTGACCACCAAGGTTTTCTAATCCTTGATTGCCCTCCAGAAGTCTTGGGAATGGAGTCGTCTGCGGCACCTATAATAGCACTCGTGATGTTGGCTGCGTACACGTCGATGTTGGCATCGATGATGTCTTCTTCTTTCCACCCAAGGCAGCCTACACGGAAGTTAGCCCAATCAGCCTCTTTTATTTTCCAATTGGGTTTCCCGTTATAGACTTCCCTGGTTGTTTCACATTGGATGCAGAGTTCTATCAGTAGATGGTCGCTGCCAAGTGTTTCATCTTCGTGTACTTGCCAGTCGCAGCGGTTTGCCATACCAAGCGTACAGAGCGTGAGATCCAGATGTGAAGGTGAGGCATTTCCCCCAACAAAAGTAGGGCTCTCGTCGTTCAGTACGCATAGGTCGTTCTCTTCTATTATTGAGCATAGGCTAATCCCCCGACAGTCATTCCTCGGTGACCCCCACAGGACACGCTTTGCGTTGAAATCCCCGCAAAACACAAATTCGCCCTGCGGAAGCTGGTCGAGAAGTGACTGGAAGTCAACTGGTTTTCTCGTGACATCTGGGGGTACATAGACATTCACTATTGTCAATTTTGTATTATTGCTCAATGTGATGGCTATGCCCATTGCTTCTAGAGGGCCCTCTACGTCCAGCGAAACAGAAATATAATTTAAGTTATCACTGACGTAGATGGCAAGACCACCGCCACGTGTCGTGCTGCCCGGTCTGTCCCTTCTCTGACAAGTGTATCCGGGCAAGTAGATGTCGTTCTTGGTTGGTAGTAGCTTGGTTTCTTGGAGGCATATTACATCTTTGGGGTTGCGGGTGATGTATTTTCTAAGCTCAGCACATCTGGGGGCCAGTCCATTAACGTTTAGTTGTAGAACTTTTACCTGGCCCGCCATGATGACTGTCCGGATGGATGCCTCTCTGTCTTGTCTATTTATTGGTCAATTGGCGTTTCACATTCCATAGGAGGTACCTCATTAGTGTTCGTCTTTGGTGTTAAAACCGGCAAGCAACTGGGCATATCGCCAGTGCTGTAGTGACGATTTTTAATAATGTATAGTTTATAGAATATATAGTTTATTTTAAATGTATATATGTTTATTAAGGACAGCGAATGAATAATCCCCTAATAAGCATAACTCAACATTGACGCTGATGGGTGTCAAAAGATTTTAAACAATATTATATAATTGTATACACGTATCAAAGAGCTTTAATAGAGGGTCCTTTATTGTTTGTTTATCTAGACGTAATTAAGGAAGATTAATGGTGACAGCTTAAACTTTTAAAACAATACGCTAGGATTAAACTAACGCTATTACTCAATGATGTTACCTGACATATTTAACCACGCGAGTCTCGATCTGGCCAATCAGACTTCGTATCGAGAAATGGGCGTCTTTCGTTAATGGTTTTCCTCCAATCAAAAATTAGTTTAATCTTACACGTGGCATCCTTAACAGTACCGCGACTTTTGGAAGATATAAATAAGCTAGCTCAAAGTTACCATTTATTTGTCTGCGATATCACCTCGGTGGAAGCGGACGTAAAACACAACTAACAAGTAGTAGTTACCATTTATCTTCACTTAATAAATTACTTAGAAACTTCAATATTGGATCTCGTCTTATATTCAGATAATAACAACCCAAAGAACCCACTTTTACAATATACGGCTTTAAAGGACACACTAATGTCGGAAAATTGCACAGGTTCTAAAACTCAGAATTTTGTCTATTGCAAGTAGTGTGACACTATCCCGTGTCGCGGTAACAAAAAGACTAGGCTGTGACACTATGGTGTCGCTAAATAGACGAATTATAAATTACTTCCACGTTGTGTATACGGCCTGTGACACTATGTTGACAGTCCTTCACGTTTAAGGGGAGCTTTCGCTCCTGCTCCTCTCGACGCACGTCGGCTTTCCTTCGAAGGATTCATTAAAGACTCCTGCAAATTAGCTAAATCGCTCTCCTAAATATTGAGATTAATAAACTAAGGTATCAGGAGCTTTTTATGGCTCCCGCACAATTTTATAAACATGAAGGACTGGGGTGACACTTATCAAGTCAGGAAGTTCACGTTGTGCATATGATCAATTAACTCTGGAACACTGTTAACGTTAACTATATTTTTATATCTTTATAACATCCATAATACAGCGGTTATATACAGGAAACTACACACACAGCTATGACATTAATTATAAGCTAAATATAAGTTCTCTATCCCCTAGCTTGTGTTTCCCAGGTGGGTATGATGTTCCCCTCTCGGACCGCTCTATGAATGATGTATGAAAGGAAGGTTAACCCCGCTCTTATTAATATAAAGATGATACGAGCATGAGTCATGTATTGGGCCCCGGGAAATTGGCCAGGTACTTCTTTTATCGGATTGGTCAGCTGCACAGACGCTACTCTCGATTTAAACCCATTGTACTAATATGGGCATAAGGAGGACAGTTGCCCGCGTGTCTAAACATGGAATTACCATATTTGAATTAGCAGACTATGGTGTCATTGTCCGATTTTAACCTACCAGACATATTCTTGTTAACCTAGTTCTCGTTGCCATTGGTAGTAGCTAACAGCTTCAATACATTAACCAAAGCATCTTTTACAGAACTTAGGTAACCTCTACAGTATATAGACCCTATAGTATTATAACACGCCCCTTTGCAATGAGTTAAATAAGCACCGTTGCTTAATTAATGTCATTATCTAACATGCATTAAATACAATACACTATAAATATATTCAGAATGACACTTCCAAATCGTCATTCCATGTCGCGAACAATCTTTAAATAATCACAAAAACTTATAGTTGTCCATTAAATATTTCAAGTCCTACTTCTACCATATCAATACACTGATATGCATGCTACAATAACATAAATACGCTGATTCACGTTCTAACACAATAAATAACATTGTTTCAAAGTCAATGTAATTTCACTGTTGTTTAACTCTATTGTTCTTTGTCTTCCACTTTAACCTAAACACAGAAAATATAACTAAAATGTTCCTAAATTCTTCACGTGTCCTAATTTCAAAATATTATTACACTACACTCAATGTTTTTAAAGTTCAGTTTCACTTTAACTTCGGCAATTCATCAGCTTGGATTTCCAATGATCTGTTTCAGCTACCATCGTCTCGACATCAGAACGTTTCTTTTCTTGTAAGTAAGGTAGAAGTCCCTATTTCAGAATTTTCGATCAGCACTTCTTTTGACGACTTGTGTTGGGAGAAATTCATTCATCCTCAAATCAAACATGTCATTTTCACCAGACCAAAAACTAAGTGGTCCTAATTTAAAACTTTATTTCAATTATTATTAACTCTTACTCTTACTCTTAATTGCAAATAAAATTTTATTTAATTATTAATAAACGTTGATGTGTCTCTTTAATCATCAAAATTCTAAAACATTTGACCTCTTAACCTTATAGTATTATAGTAGAACAAACCAAATAAATACATGAAAATGACAACAAATTCCTCTATATGCATGGACAGATTTCTTATCTTAACAATTTGAAAATACAAAATTAACTTAAATGTTTTGCATGGTGTGTTGATGCGCTTTAATTTAAAGCGGGTCGACCGATTTCTTCTTTTTATTGTATAGAATTTTTAGGACGAATAGGCTGCAGCGTAAATTTACGAAGACCTATATTGTATTCTCTTTCGAAGAGAAACGGACCTCTATAGTCTAAACGTGTTGTTCTAGTATCGTATAAACCGCAATCAATAACACAAGGATTATATTTATTCTTGTGTATCAACACCCCACTGATATTGAAGACAATTATAGAAGTACCAAAAGGTGAGGATTATATATACTTTAATACACAATTTTTGATTCTGTATTTATATGCTGTTTGACCGGCATGTCAAAGTACACTAATTGGAAGTTGGAAAAAATTCCCCCATAACACACTGCATAGCGTCATCATTATCCTGGTTGGTGCAGAAAAGTAGGGCGTTAAACCAAATTTCTTATAGCAACCATAACGTTTTAAAAAATAAATAATAAAGAAGATTAACATCATCAGTTTGTTACCAGCTACTTTGCTTTATCTTTGTAGATAATTACAGTTTTAATGGCACCAATAGTCCTAGTTTATCGAAAGAAGAGACTAATCAGGGTTATATTATGTTCTTGTACCTGTCTTGTGCTATGTAACGTTTTAAACTACCTAGCTAATCATTGGTCATCATCTTCAGACTCTCACATTGCAATTAAGAGTGCCATTTCACCAAGAGAAAACAACATATGTCCTGATGTGCTGAATGGCATGGTGTATGGTCGGTGGAAGCATGACTTAATGACCCCGGAACAGACTAATGAAATGAGAATATTTCTAGAAAGTGCAAGAATTCAACATGGATTACCAAAATCTTTGCAGCGAAATGACTCAAAATGCGGGTATGCTACTTTCGATAAAAGTATCAGCCCTACAATAGTATATTTCAGGGCTCTGTGTGACCCTTATGGTCCCAAACCGTGTTGCTTTAATAATGAATGTGTCGATAAAACAACACCAGAATGTCGTTGCAAGAATTGCTTTGATATGCGACAGCCCCATCATGCTGAATATTCCGAATGGATACCATACGATCAACGATGTCAATTAAAGAAATTTAACTACAATGAAGTTTGTGATCTTTTAAACGACGCTACTCTCTATTTAAGTGGCGATTCTTATATTCGTCACATATATACAGAATTACTTTTGTTCCTGCGTAACAATACGTATGATGGAGCTTTAAAAAGGACAGTATCAAAGGGTATGTTTTTTAAAATAATTCCAATAACTGATATGTGTACGTGGCGGACCATACCCAGATTTCACAGGGTATCATAAACATAACAGGAATTAACATAAATGTAAAGATCAACTAAATTAAATTAAACTTCAACGATACTCTTGTAAATATCGAGATTTTATATGAGTAACCTTAAGTTTTCTTCGAGTGTCACAGCTGTTTGAAGACAGGATATTATTTTTTAATAACCAGTCTAAATCGATTTCCTCTACAACAATGTCCCATTTCTTTAATGCTTTGATATGTATCTGTTTATCATTATTATTAATATTATTTCAGATATACACGATAAATGTACTGGTATGTATATGTTTACAGAGATGGCGTGTCGAGAAAACCTCGACTTCAGTACAGAAGATTTATGTGGAGGTAAACTGGAATTAAAATATGAAAAGCACATGTCGGCTGACTCTGGTCCAGAATTTGCGTCGAGAGTAGAGACACTTATGAATAAACCAAGATCGTTAGTTTTATTTGGACTAGCAATTCACAGCTTCTTTAAATTTTCCAACATCAGAGATAATTATATATTACCGGCTTTAAACCGCGTACAAAATAAAACATGGCCCAAATTTTTATGGGCCACGCCTCATTGTCCAGGAATTTTAAAGAACGGTAATATCCAAGCCCAGGCGAAGCCAAATGTTCTAAAATTTATGAAAGAAGCAGCAGACTTTTTATCTCCTCTGAAAATTCCAATTTTTAATAGTTATAATATGACCGAGGGTATGATGAGTTTTGACGGAAATCATTATGGACATGGCATGAATTACTGGAAAATTCAAATAATTTTTAATTATATACAAGAATTGAAAGACACGGGAAACTGGTAGCTGATTATTACTTATATTTAGAAATATAATGGTACATCGTAAAATGATCGCACATTTTCTTATTTTAGTTTTGGGCCACTTTCGTCAATTTTCGGTTATGCACGGGCACGAAAAGGATAATTCGGTATTTATAGTGATGGCTATATATAAGGCACGGCAATCGTAGCAGAAGATTAAGTGAAATGTATGGTGGCTGATAGTGGCCATGTTTTCATAACGCAACAACACGACATCACGACAGTATGGACGCAATCGTCGTATCATCGTATTATTTTTATCGTAACGTCGAGATGTCGACTTGTCGGCTTAGTCTCTTTCTACAAGTCACAAAATACAGCTGTACTCATTACATCATATACGTAAAAGATTAGATAAATATAAATAAGACTCGTGCAAAAGAGATGATATAAAAATGTTGATTAATTATTTGTTTCCTCAAAATAATGAAACTTTGGTGCCCAAAAGTGAATTATATTTGGTATTATATTCAAATAAATCTAGAATTACAATAGCAGGACCAAGGTGAGTTGGGGTTTTGGATGGCCGAATGGTTAGCACGTGCGCGCTGTATCATAATAAGGCCTGTCATTGAGTCAACTGACGTGGTTTCGAATCCCCCGTTGTACGTGACAAGGAGTAGGGTCGCCTGTCCAACTTCCTGGGTTTTCTGCGGGTCCTCCGGTTTCCTCCCACTGCTAAAGACCTCTACGCGCAAGCGAATTAGTGAAATAAAAGAAAAATTAAACCATATGTTAGTCCCGAAATGACCTAGTTTGTGTTGAGTGGACGTTAAACCTCATTTCCCTCAAAATCAATAAAATGGTATCAATGATGTTTGATACAACTGGAAAATAATATGTCTAAAATGATTAAACAACGTACATTTACTCAATATGTTCCTTCCAGTAGATCATCATTTAACTTGAAATCAAGAAAAGGGTTTTAACCAGCGGCTGCCAGGCAGGATACGCCCACATTTTCGATAGAGAACAAGCTAAAAAGAAAGTGATTTTTTCCTACAATCAAGGGCCATAATTCATGAAGTTACAATTCGATATGCGCAAATATCAACAGGAACTAACATCTTTGGGTTATAAACATGCATTTCAAGTTTCATCAAAATCGGATTAAAATTGTGACCTCTACGTGGTCCACAACCTTGATATACCATATTTTTACACCATTCGCGTACAAGCGGCGGCCATTTTGTCCGACAGTTTTGGTTTGATTTTCAGGAAATTCAAACTCAACCTTTATTACGGTGTAACGGTGATATAATCAAACGTTTTTTTTAAATCGGATAATAATTGTGACCTCCAGAGGAACCACAAGCTAAAAAAGGCGATTTTCCGTACAATCAGGGGTCATAATAATCAGGAAGTTACGATCCAATACATGCCAATATCGAAAGGAACTAAGATCTTTGGGTTATAAACTTACATTTCAAGTTTCAACAAAGTCAAATAAAAATTGTGACCTCTATCGTGTTTTTAGCTTGTGGTCACTCTAGAGGTCACAATTATTATCCGATTTAAAAAACCGTGTGAATATATCACCGTTACACATTAATGATGGTTGAGTTCAAATTTCGTGAAAATCGTATCAGACCGTAACTTCCTGAATAATGTCCCCTGATTGTACGAAAAATGCGTTTTTAGCCTCAAGAGGTCACAATTATTATCTGATTTTAAAAACGTTCGAATATGTCACAGTTACACCGTATTGTTGGTTGAGTTCGAATTTCATGAAAATCGGAACAAAACTGCCAGACAAAATGGCCCCCGTCTACGCAAATAGTGTAAACATCTGGTATATCAAGGTTGTGGACCCTCTAGGGCTCACAATATTGATCCGATTTCGATGGGGTTTTTTATTTGCGAGGGGGGCGCAAACACTCTAGGGGCACAAAAGAACTGCGTCCCCTTCACTTGGCCCCTGCGCTCCGAATGGATCAAATTTGGCACGATCATTACTTTCAAAGAAAGTATGACACTCTCTGATGTAAATGCATGCCCGAACCACTTCTGTCATATTGAAACGCGCTTTGAATCTTTTTTTATTCGATCGGTTGCTTCCCTTTTTTCAAGTACCCTATGTTGTTTAATCATTTTAGACATATTATTTTCCAGTCGTATCAAACGTCATTGATACCATTTTATTGATTCCGAAATTATTTGTAAAACAAAATAAGAGACGGAGGTGGTGGGGGGGGGCGTATGGGACTTTTAGAGTGTGTTCATAGTTGAAGGCAATACTGGGCCTATTTTTAATCATCTAGTCCTAGATTCCATTAGTGATGCCAAACGGATGAATATGCGATAATGTCAATAACAGCTGCGAATCGTTTTCTGCACCTTATAAAAAAAACCCCTCTCCTGCAACTATTCGGGTGGCGTGCTACACCAATGCGCTAATTTTAAAGATTGTGGCTCAATTTGAGGCTTTCTATAATTCTCTTCCTACCCTGTAATAAAACAAATGTGAAATCTTCTGAAATCCCTTCTAAACTGTCGCTCTAGTCATCTATAAGTATTGGTGGGTGTCGTACACGAGGCAATGTATGCTTACTCGTTCGATACCTCCGACACCACTTCTTATTCAAGGAATTAACATAGTTAACTCACTCTGGTCCTGCATTTGTAATGCTAGATTTTTTAAATATAATACCAAATATAATTCACGTTTGGACGCAGAATGTTTCATTATTTTGAGGAAACAAATTATTAATCAACGTTTTCCTATTATCTCTTTTGCACGAGTCTTATTTATATTTATCTAATCTGCTACGTATATGATGCAATGAGTACAGCTGTATTTTTGTGACTTTTAGAAAGAGACTAGGCCGACATCTCGATGTTACGACAAAAATAACACGATATTACGACAGAGTAAAGTGTCGTGTGATTGCGTCAATACTGTCGTGATGTCGTGTTGTCGCGTTATGAAAAAGGCGAGATTTAACATGGCCACTATCAGCCACCATAGAAATGCGATTCCATTGTGAATGCAGAATCAAATTATAAGTACTATAAAAAAAGATAATCAATTAATATACTGTATGTAAACATACTACTGAAAATTAAGCCTTGTACTGCAATCAGGGGCGGCAGGTGGTCAAGAATTTCATAGATTCAAAACACATTACTTGACTATCTTGGGATCCTCACCGTACCCGCCGTTTTATGACCCAATATGCTATAGAAGAAGGCTGTGTCGAGAAATGAAATGAAATGAAATTGATTTAACGTCCTACTTTTCTGCACCAGGCATATGCCATACAGTGTGCCGAATGCTTAGCACGTGCGCGCTGTATCATAAGGTCTGTCATTGAGTCAACTGGCGTGGTCTCGATTCCCCGGTTGTACGTGACAAGGGGTAGAGTCGCCTGTCCAACCCCATGGTTTTTCTCCGGGTTCTCCATTTCCTCCCACGCTAAAGACCCCTACGCGCAGGCAAATTATTGAAATAAAATTGAACCATAAGTTAATCCCGAAATGACCTAGTTTGACTCGGGTGGACGTTAAAGGCTAAATACCACTCTTGTTGTAACTGAATAATATGTCCCAATCTTTATTCTGGTCAACAAATTGTACTATTTTAGAATATTTCAATTAATTGATGATACAGATTTCATCTTAACACACCTTATTTAAAAATTTTGAAAAATTCAACATAATGGTTTGAAACGTCTAACGTAAACCTTTTCAAATGAAACTTCGATTTAAAAATATTTTCGAACCATCTGGACAAGTAAAATAGGATGTAATGGATAATTTACACAACAGGTAGGACACTTAAACATCTAGTACTTAGATAGAGATATTATTTATTTTCTGGAGCTTTCAAGCCAGCAAGAGTGTTATTGTCCCTTTAAACCCCATCTTTCAAATTAAAACATTTGGAGCAAGACTATTTATTTTTCGTATCTGGCAGCTTCTCATTGGAGAGGGAGAATTTTTTTTTACATTACTGAAGTATTCCGTCAGTTTTTCACAACAATGAGGTAATAGTCTATGTGGTGGTATTTTTTATTCGGCTAGTACTCTTTGCTCCACCCAGGTTTATGGAGACAGGTATACGCAATCCAGTGTTCTATGGGGGAAATTTTGCTCGGACAGCGGCGCTACGGTCTTCTCTTATTTCGAATATGTACGCGGGATCTCGGTTTTTTGTATCACCCGAACGACTAGACGCTGTCCTTGCTAGGCCCTCCATCATGTAACATTGACAAGTGGAAACAACGTCGTTGTATTCTGCATCCTTAACCAATATCATGAACAATTTATTTAAAAATGTTAATCCACACAGAGATAAGCAATAACCCAAAACTAGCTAAACGGAATCAAGAATATCAAAATCGTATCTCTATTCTACGGAAAACCATTAGGGTCAATCAAATGAAAAAAAGAAGATACGGAGAAGGCCATGAGTAATTTATTTCAAGGTCGCCATATGAGTAATTTATTTCAAGGTCGCCATACACTGATTTATCGAATAGCTAGGCCAACACCGTACTTCATTTTATGTTACAGAATCGGCACATTCATGTCATGCTTCCATTAATATCATTCGTTATTTTCATGCCTCCATTAAAATCATAAAGTTCACACTCTTATTAACTTCATACTCTCACCAACTTCATACACGCATTGTTATCATTTTAGCGATTTTTTTCCATTTCAACAGAAAATTAAAATCTGTTCAAAGTCAAAATGAACGAAAACAAAAACGGCCAAAAATCGTCACGTGTCTCACGAACCGACGAATCTGAGATTCTTAAGTTTTAAGAAAAATACGTTGAAATTTGTTCTCTGTTGTTATCTCTGTGGGCATCATATAATAACATTTATTTGTTATTTTTTATTTCATACAAATACATCAGGACACTCACTACCATAATCTAACCAGTGCACATAAGATGGGCTTGGGAACTTTTCGATATGCGTAGCCAATGGTTACTATATCAACTTTACGGCAAGTTCACACCAATCTGATTGAAATTAATTCAGATATCTTCATTCAAAGTCGTAAAAATAGACCTCCCGTAAAAACGACTTTGCCAATTATCGAAAATACTCTTAATCCCCTCAGACGCCAGTGACGTCACCGTGACCGAATGCATATTCGGAATGTTTATTCCTTAATTACCTATTACAGCCGGCGTGTGTATTCATTAACGCCTGACTGATTCCTTAATTCCCCTAATTAAATAAAACAATTGACTACGGAATAATTTGTTTTGTTATTCATTTTAATTTAAGATCCAATTTAGAATTTGTTTCATAATGTACGGTCGCTCTCGTTTCTCACGACAGCAATTTTAATACCCTCTAACATCGTGTATACAGTCCAATCGATTCGAGATACATTTTCGTCAAAAGAGTATGTGGTTCTAATTTCCCCGAGTAAAAGAGTACAGGAGTAAAAAGATGTGATCGTGCAAAATGTATCATAAAAGTCAAACATGATTGAAAAGCGATTTGTAAATGACGATCCGTTATCATCGTACGGCGGATTTGACTTCATTACTCTGAAATAGACCGTAAAAATGAAATACGAAAAATATCTCAATATACTTTAGGATTAACAGTACAAATAAATTTTGTTGGTAACCATCTAAATGGAATAACAGACAGATTGAGAAGGGTCATCTAAATATCTTTGTGTATTGATAATAATATGGCAAGTAATGTCGTTAATATCTGTCATTAATTAATCAATCCGACTTGGGGTCATAAATTAATTTTACATCTCGGTGTTAGCAGTGATTGTTAGTGGGATTAGGAATGCTGATTAGGTAATTATCTTTTTTTACGCCGGCCAGATCAAAGACATCACTGTAGGTGGAACGTGTGTGTAGTACCCATCAGGAATGAACTAATGGTAGAATCGTACACACACATATTAATTGTATAAAATAATTAAGTTTTACTCATCAGTTGTTTATACTTATTATTTACCCAATAATTATTGCTCACCGGTGTTTTTGTAATCAAGTAGCCTCGTATTATTTATTGACTGGCGTTTAAACAACATTATAAAGAATAGTTCGGGATATCAAGTATTACGGGGTTATCCAAATTACTGGTAAATGCGCTAATTGCTTAGGTCGTCGTAAGTTGTCACGGGGCCTATTTAAACAATGGCACCTTAAATGGATCTACGGCATTTTAAAGGGATAATAACACTCTTGCTGGCTCCAGTAAATAAATATTAGCCTTATTCTAAGTATTAGATGTTTAAGTGTCCTACCTGTTGTGTAAATTATCTATTACATCATATTTTACTTGTCCAGAGGGTTCGAAAATAGTTTTAAATCCAAGTCACATTTGAAAAAGTTTACGTTAGGCTTTTCAAATCATTTAGTTGAATTTTTCCAATTTTTTAAATTAGGTGTGTTAAGATGAAATTTTTATCATCAATTAATTGGAATACTGTAAAATAGTACAGTTTGTTGACCAGAATAAAGATTGTGATATATTATTCTGTTACAACAAGAGTGGTATTGAGCCTTTAAATTCACTCTAAAATATTCAAATCACAAATGTCTATCTATAACACAAAAGACGATAATTCGGTGATTATGATTATGCCAGTCATATGTTAATTGGACCGACACGTACACACTTGTCAACTGGTGGTGTGTATTGTATATAGTATGTGTAGTGTCTGTGACGTCACCAGCCAATCAACCGGATTAAGGTTGTAATTGAAAATTTGAAAACCGTTTTTGGCTTTCGGATACTTAAACCTCAATAGCTGAGTTAATTTTAATCAGATTGGTTTGAACTTGCCGTAAAATGGATATAGTAACCATTGGCTATAAGTACATTCAATTAAGATTTTTAATCTTATGTGGTCTTTAACGTCCACTCGGCACAAACCAGGTCACTTCGGGTGTTATCTTGTAATTACAAGATAGCTTTGTTATAATTACAAGATAGCTATGTTGTAATTACAAGATAATCAGAATATTTTTTATTCATTTGATTGACCCCAATGGTCTTCCATACTATTCCTTTCCTCAGCAATGTACGTGGGGACTTTGAATTATTTTTTACGTCCACTTGCAAGTGAACGACTGCAAGTGGACGTAAAAAGATAATTTGTAGTCCAGAGAAATTTAACGACAGCCTATCGAAATGAAATGGGCTTAACGTCCTGCTCCGAGCACCAATACCAATCTAACGGAAAGGATGTGCTTTTATTTTAATTGTGTCAAAATAGGTTTCTAACATTTATTTTGGCATATGGAAGCGCTGGCGCAGAATAAGCATATTACATGAATACTAGTAGGTTTTTTGTCAACATAAAAGAGTCCATTATTTTCATTAAATTTCCAACTTTGGATGCCTGATGCTACTTATGATCACATCAAGCCAATTTAACATTTTCAGGCTAAATCAATTAATGAAACTACACACCAAGTTTCATCACTCTCACTTAATTAAAACTATAGTTATCGAGTCCCAAAGCATCAACAAATCAAATTGATTATCTCTGCTTACCCTAAGCAGAAAATGCTCATCTTCGAACTCCATCAAGGCATTGACCTATAAATAAAGAGAGAGAGAGAGAGAGAAATGGGGTTTAATGTCCACTCGAAACAAACTAGGTCATTTCGGGACTAACATATCGTTTGATTTTATTTCAATAATTGATTTGATTTTCAACGGATTTAAACACGATTTGCAGTTAATGATTTAATTTAAAAAAAAGATAATCAAGACTTTGTTTATTAGGCTACACTGTTCTTCAAACGGCAACAACTCCGCCCAGAATGAAGTAATTTGACTGAAATTTTCAACATATGCCCTTTTCATTATCGTTTTTTTTTACTTTTATAGCGAGAACTGTCAACTCTTTATCTTCATTTTACATAATGCATCTTTAAGTGAATGTATCTCAGTTGATTATAAAAAATTGTTTTTGGTGTATCTAAACACAAGACCCCCAAGCATATAATTCTGCATGCAATCAAATATCCGTCCACGCAGAGGATCAATAACATCTGTTATTCAAATAATTGATGATTTACTTTTTATTCATTGGTTCGAAATAAAATGATCAATGACACACGTGATACAGCAAAAGTATTTAGAAAAGCTATACCGAGAGAAAACCGCTATAATAGAGATAGATATCCAGTTAAATTCTGAATACAGATCACAGAACAGGTACTTTATTTTTTTTCATTTTCAAGATTTAAAAGTTATTTGAAAATTATCCGTGTACATAAAAAGCTATAATATTTTAGTTTAATCAACGAGTCTCCGCATCAAGAATTCTAATATATCAATGGGTTTGGATATAATTTTTGCGCTATTTGTTTGAGACACAAATAACTTTCGTATCACAACAATTAAACTCACTTTAAAGTAGCTAATTCTCTAACTCAGTATCATCCAAATTCTTCGACATTGAAGACACAAATTATTTGTCTATTTAAATCAACATTGATGTTGTGATCTTACCGGAAAAAGGTGGGCTTCTGATATCCAATATTTAAGACAAAATAAACATTTTACCATTGGTACACGAATCGTGTACCATAATGCGTTTCAGCCGTCATTTGTAACAAGGGGCTCGAAGAACGAGGCTAGACATATTCCATAAGTCATGTCAAACGGTGACGCTATATTCTTATCTGGAGAGCATGCGCAATAAATAATTTCGGTGTAGACTGGTATAACCAGACGCTAGAAATAGCCATTCGATTGAGATTTCTGGCGTATTTCGCCGAACTTATCTGATTAGAAATTACAGTAAAAACAGAAATGATTGAATGTAAATCAGTTTATATACATTCATATTACATTATTATATGCGTTGTGACGCATTTGTGTCAATTTCTAGGTCCCAAATATTAGCGACTTAGCTCCTTTAAGTATTTGTTTATATACTTGTTAATATAAAACATGTGTCGCTGCAAAAATTGTCAAACATACATTATGCAAGAGCTAAATCTGCCTATTGCAGGTCTTTCTTTAGGCCTGAAATGTTTTCTAAATTATTAATTAGACAAAATTAACTTATCTAGACCATAATCAACCCTCGGTGTCATCGATAGCCTGAGATATTTACTGGCTTATAATCCGATCTACTACTCAACGCTCATTTATGATTAAATCGAAAGATAGATTGCCAGGCAACGAAACATACGCCCACAGCAACTAAATCGTCCGGGCAGTCAACAATTAGGGTTGTCGCATATTTTTACTTTTTTCGGTAATGAAACATTTATAATACACTAAAATCTGATTAAGAGCAACAACTCACGAAGAATTTATCAGAAAACTATTAGAATTTGTTTGGTTTTTATAAAGTTCTGCCCCATGCTAACGTTTTGTATGCAAAGCTTTTAATATCATGGATTTAACTGTTCAAGTCATAAAAATTCTTTGAAAATCAATATACTTGTTCGTCTCAAGATCTTAAAATCTGTGTATCAATCTGAAGTCAATCGGATGATAACTTTAGCCTTTAGAGCGTCACAAGATTTTGCAAAGTGATCAAGGGACATAACTTTGGCAGTAATTATCGGAAATCGTTGAAAATCAATAGGAATCTTCGTCTCATGACCTCAAACACTATGTATAAATTTAAACTCAATCGGATATTAACTTTGGCCTTTAGAGCGTCCACAAGATTTTTTGAAGTGATCAAGGGCCATAACTCTGGCAGTAATTATCGGAAATCATTGAAAATCAATACGCATCTTCGTCTCATAACCTCAAACACTGTGTATAAATTTAAGGTCAATTGGATATTAACTTTGGCCTCTAAAGCGTCCACAAGATTTTTCAAAGTGATCAAGGGCCATAACTCTGGCAGTAATTATCGGAAATCGCTGAAAATCAATAGGTTTCTTCGTCTCAAGACCTTAAACAGTTTGTTTAAATTTAAAGTCAATCAGATATTAACTTTAGCTTCTAGAGCGTCCACAAGCAATTGTGGACGCCGGACCGCCGTACCGACGGACCGACGGAAGGACGGACGGGGACGACGACAATATACAACCACATTTCAATGTGGGCGTATAAAAATGGATAATCGAGACTATGCTTTTATCATACCGACTTTAGTAACGATGATCGAGGCTAGGTCCAAAATTGAATCGCTAAATTCTCGGTTCAGAGTGGATCAATTTGACTGAAATTTTCAGCAAATTCCCTTACATTATCTAGTTTTTAACTATTATTGTGAGAACTGTCAGCTCTTTATCTAATCTCTCATATGGCCCCTTTAAACTTGGACTTTGAAAATGGCACCATTTTAAATTCTTTAATTGATATTATAATTGCTTTCAATAAAATAAATTTTTGAATATAATTGATCAGTGCAATCTGTAATTTTTCTAATTATATTCTTGTATTATATGAGCATAATTAAATTTAACGTGGGCCTACTGATTTGAGTTTTGAGATGTAAAACAATATTATCAAAAGAAAAGAAAATAATGGTGTTATAAATAACGTCATAAATTTGGAAATTATTAGATCCTGCCACCGCCCCAAGCTGCACCCGGGGTTGATAACCACTCATCCTAGCACCACTAGCGTACGGCGCCATTCACAACGGAACAAAATATTTAGCAAATAAAGATTGGGATTCTAAAAAGAGTTAACATTAAATTTTGTATGTCGTCAAAAATATATTATATAGCAACTTTATCTTTAGATATAAACACAAATGGCGAAAGCAGTTAACCAATGTAAATTCTTTATCATATTCCTGTTTTGTGGATCGTTATTTTTAATATGGAAACACCAAAACGATATACAACTAGCCTCATCACATACCGACGAATCACATCACATCCTCAGCAAGAAAAATGCAACAACTTCATTGAACAATCACCCTGAATGTCCAGATATCTTACGTGGCATGGCTTATGGTTGGTGGAAACTTAACCCTTTGACACCAGGACAAACAACGGAAATGAGGACATTTCTACAAACTGCGAGAACACAACATGGATTACCAATATCTCTTCAAAGAAATGATTTCATATGTGGAAATACGAGTTTTCCCACCCATTTAAGTCCAACAATAACCTGGTTTCGTGCATTGTGTGATCCTTATGGTCCGACCCCGTGTTGTTTTAATAATAAATGTGTTCAAAAATCTATACAGGAATGTAAGTGTGACAATTGTTTTGATATGCGACAACCACCTCATGCGGAATATTCTGAATGGATACCATACGATCAACGATGCAAGATAAAGAAATTTAATCACTCTGAGGCGTGTGAACTACTAGACGGAGCTGCCATCTATTTAAGTGGTGATTCTTATATTCGCCACATATATACAGAATTACTTTTGTTTCTTCGTAATAATACGTATGATGGAGCTTTAAGAAAGCGGGTAGGAAAAGGTAAGTTCAAATTTTCAGATGCCCATGTAACCGAAATATTGTATAAAACTACATCCATTTCCAACATCATTGCAATATTTTAACCGGTGCAACTAGGTATGGAATGTTTCAGATACTATCACGTCTGTAAGGTGCGTTCACACCGCATTCTTCATGAAAATAGGCGCTTGTGGTTTGGTTTCTTATACTCATGCCAACCGCACATATTCAATTACCCGAGTGCAATCTGGTTTGTAAATGTGAATGTTTGTTGTATTTGCCCCTTAGTTATTTATCAGGGGATGAAGAGCGAATTAAATTCCTTGCTAATAAATGTAAAGGTGCCAAATAAAATGTAAGGATAATAGTTGAATAATATAATACGTTTGTTTATTGTTATTTCAGATATACACGATAAATGTACTGGTATGTATATGTTTACAGAGATGGCGTGTCGACTAAACCTCGATTACAGTACAGAAGATTTATGTGGTGGCAAATTGAGATTAAAACATGATACACACATGTCAGCTTATCATGGGAAATCATTTTCTTCTATGGTAGCAACTCTTGTGAACAAACCCAAATCTTTAGTTATTTTTGGGATAGGTCTTCACAACAGCTTCCATCTCCCCACAATTCGAGATGGTTATATCAAGCCTGCACTAGACGGCGTAAAAAAAAGCAAATGGCCTAAATTTCTATGGGCCTCGCCTCATTCTCCAGGAATCTTAAAGAACGGCAATATGCAATCACAGGCTAAGCCATCTGTTCTTAAATTTATAAAAGAAATAGCAGACTTTTTATCTCCTCTGAAAATTCCAATTTTTAATAGTTATAATATGACCGAAGGTATGATGAGTTTTGACGGAAATCATTATGGACATGGCATGAATTACTGGAAAATTCAAATAATTTTTAATTATATACAAGAATTGAAAGACACGGGAAACTGGTAATTTATTTCCTTTTCTTTTACAAGAAATAAAAGATCAGCAATAAATGTAATCTTTTATCAGCGATGGGTGTTGTGTTTTGGGTTGACTTCGTTGCCTGAAAAGTGGTTAAACAGCAAGAAAACTGAGCGTGAAAAGACAGTTGAAAGTATTTGATTCACCTCATACAAAATTCAGCAGCTGAATCGTGGCGTACTTTTAGAAGATCTCTTGGGCAAATAAATGAAATGAAATGGGGTTTAACGTACTACTCCGACTGGGCTAATTAAACGGACATACGCCATACAACGGCGCTACGGTCTACTCTTATATCAAATTCCAACTACCAAGGGTTCTTCTACTTGCACGTCAATGTTTTTCGTTCTAACGACTATAGTTACGCTGTCCCTGGTCAGGCCCTCTGTCCTGCATCACTGACAAGGGTGTCCAATCCGGAACATTGATAATTTGCGTATAATGGAATATACGCCTGTAAAATCGCGCTTTTTGTATGCAATGTTCGTGAACAACCTGCATTTAAATAACTACCCTAGTGCGAGAAAGTTGGTCCATATACAGTCAATAGGTAGATTACTTGAAATTATCACTACACTCATAATAATAAGCACAGTAGACGCGCTCCACAAACATAGACAAATGAAAACGGCCACTGCAATGTGTCATTCCGAGTCTGTTTTATCGTCTCTGTGGATCCAACAACGATCTTATGACATAAACTGCAATACTTTAAGTTACCCATTTATTAAAGAATAGGGGTTTAAGTTTAATTTTGTCGACTAACTGATTTCGTTTCATTGGTTTAATGTGCAATGCGAATGCTCGAATGTTGCCTACTCTTCATCGAATTCCATCTGCCATGGGATATTTTACGTGCAATGTCAATCAAAAAAACGGTTTTATCTTCCATCCGAAGAACTAGACACACTTCGATTGTCAGCCCCTCAGGCCGCCACCCTAGAAAATTGAGAACTGAGCTACAACCACTGCGGCACCATTTATTAAAAAAATGTATTTTATAGATTTATTGTTTATTAGCATACTAGATAGGTGCAATATTAAACATACACATATTTTGAGTTTTATAAACATTATTTACAATATTCATTGAACACAAAAAGATTATGAAAGTGAGACTTTGAATCAAATGTAAGCCATATGCATGTACACAATTTTTCAGTATAAAATTTTATCTACAAAAAAGCAATTCTATATTCTCTTCCAGCGAAATGTTCAACAAAAGGAGAAGCGAAAAGCGAATGACATTTTTATTCTATATATCTGTAGCATAAATAAATAATTAGCACTATGAATTCATTAAATAAATCATAAATCAATTTTAATTAAATCTGTGAGACTGCTATATGTTGTTTATGATAAGCTTGACATTGGCTGTATAGAATTAACACTACACAATTTGAATCATAATGATTTACCTTAAATTAAAATCATTATTAACACATATTAAAACTATAGTTATTGTAAAATTAATTAATAAAATTTCGATATTTCGAGTATAGAAATAATTAATCATACTGTCAGGCTTTGGTGTGTCAATTGGACAGGTGTCGAATTCAATATGAAACCAGAACCTTGGGGTTTCATCAACAGTGGATATCCATTCATTATTGTGTCTAACCTCACATGCCGACATTCAACTACTGATTAAACTAAACTAACCTATTACAATATAATACATTGAGACAATATATAAAAACTTCGTGCTTTAGCTGTAACTATAATTCTTAGTTACGTGATTCTTAGTTACATTGCGGAAATAGCCACTTAGATGGATTTTATGACAGTTAAATAGGAAAACAATGTCCCATGGAGCACCACAAAGAGATGAGTTAAGCTATACATGATCCATATATACAATGAATATAAATAATACTGATTTAAAATTAGTTAAAACATGAATTGTTATTATTATTATCATTATATTAACAAAGCATTATTCTATAGCACCAATGGAATCTTTCCTTTATACTTCTTCGTACAGTTCTGAAAACATAAATTGTTGGAATAAGATGATACATTGTCATGAACATTAAAATGAACAAATAATGATATTATTTCAAAATTCTCACATGACATGTTAAGGATCATGGTTTAGTCAAAATGTATCTATAGGTTAATAAGCTTCAAAAAACATTAATGCCGTTATGTGTTTGAAACTACCCCTGCCACAGTGATGAGTTAATTTTGTTACAGCATCTGTTCAAGTTGTGTTACCTAGACATTAGATATTACAACTACTATTAATACTGTATTTCACTATACATCCTAAATATAATGTGTTATCCCATTAATCCATGATAATACAATTTTGCTAATTAAAGTGACTGTTTATTCATTACAAATTAATTATATATGGTAATTAGTGACTTGGCTATATTCAATAGACCAGGTGTTATAACCTTAATTTAATATACCGCTAAATTATAATTTACAAAGGGGTGGATAAATTATTATAATCCCTCAACAATCTCTATTTACCACTAACTCAATGGATGATATCCATGATATTGGCAAGTCAGAATAATGTCAATTGGACATTTTTGTTTTCATTTTTTTTAAATCTCTAACCCTCGTCACAGAATTAAATTGAAGAAGCAAGTTAGAAATGCTACTCTCAATAATTATATAAAATGTTATAAATTCTTGTCTCTTGGTTAAAACGATTTGTTCATTCCTGAAAAAAAGCCAAAATTAACCTATAAACATTGTCGAATGAAAAAACTACACAAAATATGACAATAATAATTAGTTTTAATTTTGCCAGTTACTAGTTCAGTCCTTGTCTTAGTTATCCATAAATTCCACAACATATCTAGCCCCCCTCCCCCACCCCATCCCCCACCCCATCCCCCACCAACACCCCCTCCTCCATCCTTAAACCACTGATTCGTCAAGATGTTATCGAATTTGAAAGAAGTACTTACCATCATCGACGCCACCTCTGAAAATAAAAGAAGAGAATACCTTATCAGTTATGTATTTATAATCAAACAGTGAAGGATTCAGTTGAACACTGGTGAACGTTTTTACATGGTCTGTTTATGTGTTTCTAAATAAAAAAAAACCCCAACATAGATCAGTATTATAAATCGCATAAAACAAAACACAAACAAAGGCACCTGCAAACACCGTAAAGTTATTCACGTGTATAATGATAACCATTAAAATACAAACCGTTTATGTGCTACATGAACGTAAAATGTTATCCATAATCCAACATTGTAAACAAATTAATATGGGATTACGTGTTTGTTTATAACTCAGCATCTCGTCTACACCATACTCCAGTCATTTGTGCAATGCGTTTGCACTTATTTTTCCTCAATGTCCAACGATCAATGGTTTATTTATGCCTCGTCCGAATAACTAGGTACAATTGTAAATTTCAATTTCATACACTACCACGACACCTTTTTAAAATTTAATTAGACTGTAAATCTACCTGATTAGCAATATAGATTGATGATAACAAATGTTTTATTACGAAAACAGTATAGTCATTATTTTTGCATGGAATATTAAGTAATTTGAAAACAAGTAAACAACAAACTGGTACGTGTCATGCACAATGATATGATAATGAAAGTAGTTATGTTAATCTTATACTAGTTGAACGGTAGGAAATTAGGGGAAAATTAAATTTCTTACACCTAATTTATAACTTTTTGGCCCGGTTCAGAAAAGTAGGATATTAAACCCTACTTCATTAAATTGTCTTTAAACAATAATTTTTTGATCAAGTCCAATTTTGAAATAATAAATTTCGCATCCTACATGTCACCCCAATAAAGCAAATGGAAAAAAAACGAAAAGGGGAAAGAAAATTGATAAATGGCCCTTCTTATGCAAACACAAACACAATCAAACTTTACAACAAGCTTATTATACTCAAAATATTCAAATTGTTCGCACCTCTTGCTTACTGGTGTCTCTGGCATTTGAAATGCTTGTTGATTCAATTTTAAATAAAGTTTGTTTTTAAACCAATTGAATTGAATAAGTACATATCATTTACCAAAGGGGGAATAAAATGAAAGACAAAATAATAATAAAAAAAAGTGTTATTACAATATTATGTAGTAATGCGTGTAATAATCAATAAAATACATAAAATGACATAAAAAAAGGGAAAATAAATTTACTTTTTGGTAAATTATATCAATAAGGTATGGGACGCGTAATATCATCAGTAAGAAATACAGATATACCAGTTATTCCCTCATTGAATTTTAATGATGTTTTAGTGTGTAAATTATGAACAAAATGGGTTGGGGTCAAACTAGTCTTTACTTACAAATGTAATACCAAGAGTGAGACTTTCTATCTTTTTTCTCTCTCTTTTTAATTAATGTGTGTATAATTGGAATGTTGGAAGATATACAGCTGAAATAAAGATTTTTTAATAACACACGGGCAGGAGATATCGTATACAACCACTTGGATATTATCATATAGTTAACGTAAATCAGATGTATCAAGGGCGATAACTCGAAATATTGGAGTCTTAAAAAGAAAATGGCCAACAAAATAAAAAAATATTTTTTGAGAAATTACGTTCAAATACCGTGAATAATATTTTGAAGGTGGTTGTATTTAAATAATAATTCAACATACCCATTTTCATCAAAATCATCAGCCACCATGTAGCACTCTTCGCTGTTCATCATCTGCAATAAATATTTCAATTTAAGAACATGTCCATGTTTTGATTGTATCTATAAACGCATTTCTATTTTTTCTACAATCAAATAACATATAAATCAACATTTCCTCATTTCAAATGAAAACTTCTTAACAATTTAAAGTCTGCATCGAAATAAATAAGTATTTGATATACATTAAATTAGGGTAATACAATTACATACATTTCACTATATATGTGCTTTTATACAATTTTACTAAGTATAAATTTTGTATATATCATAAAAATGTAATTTAGGAAAGGTTATATCAATAACAAAATACTATTGTTAATGAAAGAATAA